GAAATTCGTTTTATATAAGATGGGATTTGTCTTTACATAAAATAAATATATTAGTTTATATATTTGTCTTCATAGACATATATACATTATTAAAAAGATACATGACATATCATTATCAAATAAACATCCTTAATTGTTCATATATATCTCCATAACATATAAAAATATTAATTTTATAAATCTACAAAAAAGAATACAAATAAAATTGTGTGAGGCTTTCTAAAAAAAAGTGATAAGAGTATTTTTTACATTCAAATTTCAGCATATTAATTCATAGGCCTGGCATGGTTCGGGTAGGTTTGATTTTGAGTCCAACCTATAACTGAAACCGACTTAGTCGGTTTGGATAAATTTCAACACAAACCGACCCAATCTAATCATTGAAACCAAACTAAACCAAACCAAACAAAATCGGTTTGGGTCGGTTTGGTTTGGTTAATCGGTTTGGACATTAGTGTGAGTTAAAAAAGATTACGTATCTATTTTGGATTAAAAAATTTGTCTTTATATATATATATATTTGCTTGCATATCAATAATATATATAAGGGATAATTGTAACAGCGGTACCAAACATTTCATTTAATAGCACTTTGTCCAAACATTTCATTTGTGCCACCTACGGTATCAAACCTTTCAAAATGTTGCAGTTAAAGTCGAAATGGATAGTTTCTGTTAGTTTGACATTTAGTTGACCAAATAATTGATTTTAATTGATTTTAAAATGTTAAAATGGTAAGTTTACATTTTTAATAATAAAAAAACCAAAATCAAATAATTAAAATTAAAAATTCACCCCACCCCACCCCACCCCACCCCACCCCACCCCACCTCATTCTTTTCCACCTCAACCCGTATTTTTCTTCAATTCAATCGATTTTGCTGGAAAAATTTTCGACTCTCCAATCGCTCGAATAGTCGCAGACCCAAACCCAGACCAATTTAAACGTAAGAAACTGAAAGATTTGGTCTACGGGGACTCGATTCTGGCTCGAGCTGAATTGAAGTCATTTTGCGAGTAGATGGATGGGATGAGTTTGAGGAAGTACATAATTGAGCGACGGAGAGAACAGACTGCGATCCAAGTTTTGTTGCTGGACGCGTGGAAGAGTACGACGATTGGATGCTCTGGAGGGGTTTTGTGATGGAGGATCGGTTTCCCCGTCAGACCTAGGTGGTTTGAGGAGGGTGTTTGTGGTATTGTTGGAGGAATTGATGAAGGCCAGTGTAGAGTATTCTCATTTTTTAAATTTAATTCTTGTTTTTAATTTTTTTTTCATATGACTCTTTAAAAATTGGTCAACATTCGGTTGACTTTTGATTTTTGGTTAACTAACGGTGAAACTAACAGTTTTCATCCATTTGGACTTCAGCTGAGATATTTTGAAATGTTTGGTACCGTGGGTGGCACAAATGAAAGGTTTGGACAAAGTCTGTTACTTGATGAAAAGTTTGGTACCGCTGCTGTAATTTTCCCTATATATAATATAAATGGTAGTTGATTGCTTTTTCCAAAATTATCGTATATATCCTATAGTTACCAACAAACAATAATACCACAAATGAAAAGCAATGATATAATCTAAATTTGGAATTTATAATAAACGCTTCTTCTTACTTTCTTTTCTTTCGAAATTTGAAGTTTTGGTAGAAAAAACGTAGATTGTAAATAAATTATTTAAAAAAGAATTATATTTTTATTTTTATTTTTTAAAAGTTTAAGAAGATGAAATTTAAAATGAAAAAAATAAAAAAAAATGTATTTGCGGGTTGGATCGGTTAATTGACAGGTTGGTTGCTTAAACCGCAACCAACCCAATCCGATTATATAATAGTTAAAATTAACCAAACCAAACCGAGATTCAAACCAATCCAAATCGACCCGACTCAGTTTGGTTCGTTCGGTTTAATCGGTTTTAGAGTGCGATCACACAACTTCACGTTAAACGTCCTTGATCATACATATCCTAGATCATATCGACCACAATTCATTCTAATCTTTCAAAGTAAAGTAAAAGATTGGTGAATAGTCAAATCTCTGTCTACGTACAACTCGGTCAATTTGTCGCCTATGGTTGATCTTAGTTTTTGTAGAGTGCAATCACACAACTTCTCGTTAAACGTCCTTAACCATAAAAATACTAAATCATATCGATCCCAACTCATTTAATTTCTAAAAGAAAAAAGATTGGTGAGCAATCAAATCTCCGTCTACACATAACTCGNTTTAGAGTGCAATTACACAGCTTCTCGTTAAACGTCCTTAACCATAAAAATACTAAATCATATCGATCCCATCTCATTTAATTTCTAAAAGTAAAGTAAAAAGATTGGTGAGAAGTCAAATCTCCGTCTACATATAATTCGATCAACTTGTCGCCTATGCACGACGTTAATCAATCTTATTCTTTTTAGAGTGCAATCACACAAATTCACGTTAAACGTCCTTGATCATAAATATCCTAGATCATATCGACCCTAACTCATT